GATCGCGCATGCTCTTCGCTGGCCCCGCCCCTGCGTTTTTGTGGCGAAGTGCGACGTGTCGCAGAGAGGCACACGACAATTTGCACTGCGAAAGTTTATGATAAGGCGTGCCTCATCATTGAGTTAGAACGTCGGAGTTAGACTTGTCGTAGATGCATTTGTCCGTGACGCGTGACAGAATGGAAGTTATCTGTAAAGTGCACGAAGTCATCTCAGTTAAGGGAGGAGAGGGCCTAGGCTTCATGTTAATGGTTGTTTTGTGGGTATTGTTTGTGAGCGAACGAAGGAAGGGTCTTTCCGTTGCCTCGTTTTGATGTTCGTCTCTTTTTGTAGCATCAGGCAGATTTTTCCTTAACTTCAGCTTGCCTGTTTACAGGTTTACGAGCGCGGGTACTTAATTCGATCTCGTTACACGTTTTGTCAACATTTATTTCCGAACATTTGCGAGTATCTTTGGTCGGTTGTCTGAAGGTTTCGCGTCATAAACTGAAATACCGAGCGTATGTGGCCGGCATTTGTTGTTTTCGGTGAATTCTTCATTGATTGTTGCTTGCAATTTAAACAGCATTCCATCGTTGGATCAGTGACGTTGTTGTTGGAATCATAGCAAAACTTAAATATATTATGCACCTAGATCGAAAGTTCTAACGTTCCATTATGATTGATGGTTCATGACTGAATATCTGTTTTGATAGGAACACGTGTTTCGAGTGCAATCGTACTACCGTTTGCTGCCGCGATCGGTACCATTGGCTATTTCATCGAGCAGCAGCTCTCGTCGAGGTCCAAAACAATCCCCTACTTGGACACATCAGTGCATGATGATCGAATGCGACGTCAAATGGAAATCGAACTCGATCCCGAATATCAAACCCAGCATACGCTAAAAGAAGAGAAAAAGAAAATAGTTCCAAAGTCGAGTCTTCTACTGAATACGGGCCGAAGTGGTGCGGCGCAGCACGGTTAATCGCCGTCGGTTGATCGAGAAGCAACAATGGATTGATAATCAATTCATCAGATTGATTATGACTTCATCGCATTTCATTGGATGCTTTCATTTGTTTCAGTACAATGTGATTTAATTTTAAGTTCGGTGTAATTTGCTCAACATGTCTTATTATTTATCGTATTTTCCCTAGACATTAGTGCTTTACTTCATATTTTTCAATTGAAACTTTTCGTCATTCTTCGATATCATTTATAATCCGTAACTTCCTTCACTCAATCAAGGCATGACCCGAATATCATCAAATTCGTTTAGACTTGTTGCCATAAACGTGTTGTAAATGACCTGTAGGTAGTTTTCTCCCTTGCCCTAAATGTCCATCATCTAACTTTTGTCTACCGTTAAAATTATTCTTTTTGAGCTGTTTGTTTTGTTTTGGTAAAGTTGAAAGATTCATCGGTTGTATTCGTTGTGGTACTCATCAGTAAAGTGCACGTTAACTCTGAAATTTTTGTCTGATTTGAATATTATTTTCGTTTATTCACGCGTTCATAACGGGTTTATACTTCTCGCACTTGCACGGTTTTCATGAATTTTGGTTGAGTCTTTTTCGTTTTTGATATAGGATATCTCTTCGAATTTACAAGTAACAAATGAGATGGTCTGAGATTAAGGCTCGCAAAAAGATCTGTCCATAAAGTTGTCTTGTGTCATCAAGTCGACGAATGATGGCGTTTCTCGAGAATGTTCATAAAAAGCTCCTGTGAACAGATATGCCTTCATTTCGAGCCTTGCATTTGTTCCCCCCTCCCCTGCAACCTCTTAAGATTCGCTTGTGGTTACGCACATGTATCGAGTGAAGACTACGGATTGTACTGGTATCATTTTGTAGGATATTGATATCGAATAGAATGCGAGGTTAGTTCATGATTAAAAAGGGTTGTGTAATCAGTATCTCAAAATGGTATCTTGTTGGATGTTCTACAGTGCAAGGCGTACAGTTTCATATATGTCAAGGTAATCCCCGATAGGTTCTTGGTTTTTACTCGTTCACGAGTCGATTTTGTTCATTAGCAGCAGATGCAATTAAAAATTGACTTATTTTATTATTCACACTCGCAAAGAAGAGTTCACCCTTCAGGAAGAAAAGTTATTACGAGATTCTTGGTGTGAAGCGTGATGCGAGCGATGAGGAAATCAAGCAAGCTTTTGCAAGGAAATTTCAACAGGTCTTTCAAATGATTCGTTGTTTTTAGTGCTTTGGGAATGAACAATCGCTATAATAAGGTAACGAATTGTAGCTCACATTGAAGTTATACCCATCGTTGTGTTGCAGTTGCATCCTGATGGACGGCATTTTCAAGCAAAAGTAGAGATAAGCCGTGATCGATTTATGCCAACTCTGACACCTACCGAGCAATTTATGCAATTAAAACAGGCGTATGATGTTCTTAAAAAACCTGAGAAAAGGAAAGAATATGATCGAGAAATTCGATGGGGCAAAGGTGATCTGATGGCAGATGTAGGTATTCATCGTTACTGAATGTATTCTCGCAATCACTCCATTACAATCATCAACTTTTGTTTCTGAAAGTGAGGAACCCACCCGTGTTTCAGGAATTGACGAATGTGATGCTGAATGAAGAGGATAAACGAAATTTACGAATGGGTCGAAATGTATTGCGTAATCAAATGATAAGACAACGCAAGGAGGTGATATTCACACAACCCGAACATTTTTACGATCCAACGAAAAGTATTGAAAAAGAATATCAAAATAGAAAATATGCATATGCGGCTGCGGCATTCGTCATTTTTGTGTTGTTGGCTGATGGCATTTACATTCGGTTAGTTCAAAACTTCAGGATAATTTTACTGGTTCACCTTCTTGAGCGTCTGTATTTGACCATAATAGTTTTGCGTTTATTTTCAGGTATTTAGCTTCAGTGAAGAAGAATTCTGCAAGTGCGCAGTCAATGGGCATCTCATGGTATAATGTGCGAATTCAACATTAAACAATTACGGTGATGGTCTGTTTTTTGCATAAGTTTGTCCAATGTATTTGATGGTGAGTGCAAATGTTTTATGGATCATGCCTGGTCATTAATTTATTACCTGAATGTATTGTTTCTTGTTCATTTCTGGTTTATCTTCCTCATTCGTCATTCATCTGGTTTATCGTTCTCATTCATCCATCTAATACCTCTTGCACGAGGCATAACTGGAATATATCCCATAATGATTCATTTGATGCTAATNATTGATTCCCAGAAATGATTGTGATTTGATGTGTTCGATTTTATTGTAGTATCGTCTTGAATTGCGATGGCGCGAATTATTGAGATCGTTGGAAATAAATTTTTTCAACGATGAAATGTTTTGTTTTTGAATGGGTTAATAAGTTCTGGAGAACTTGAAAGAGACACTTTTTTCCTTTGTTTTTCTCCTTTCTCTTCGTCTTGTCGTGAACTAGACTCAGTTGTGGATTTGTGGTCCTTTTTTGAACTTTTAGATAAGATTACTTTCGATTGACTTCATTCTGTGTTCAGAATAAAGTTAATCGAAAGGCTGCCTACCCCCCCCCCCAAAAAAAAAAACAGCTTTTGGATTTTCGACAGCCCTGCCCTAGCTCATTTCGAGGTGGGCAACGTGAACTGCAGTTGAACGATCGTATTTCACAAAGTAATATATTCAGGTGATTCAGCGCTTCAGAAGCAGCAATACCTGTGAAATGCTTTCATAATGCATAAATCGAAAGTAACTAGCATGCAGCGAAGACAACTACTTCTGTCTTTATCATTGCAACGTGCTCAGTGCAGTAATAATATCCATACAAGTCCGTCTTCCTATCAACAATCTCACTATGAAGTACTTGGTGTGGCTCAAGATGCTTCACTGAAGCAAATTAAAAATGCTTTTTATACACTCTCAAAAAAGGTTTTGGCAATCATTTTGAATTCTTTCACATATCTCCTCGAAATCAGTTTCACTGGCGGTTATTCCCAGTTGCTATGCTCAAAAAATTTTCGATTTCTGTCAAATTAACGCTCAGACTTGATTTCAATTGCATACGAAATCTCAATGAGGTTTGCGAGCGACGATTTTTTGCAAGGATTTCGAATTGATGTTTCTGAGCTGTGAGAGTGCGATCAATCTCACAAGTTTTACAGTATCACCCAGATATGTTGGGTCAACAACAGAACAACGCAGAGTGTGCATCCAAGTTTATGGCTATCAAAACAGCGTATGACATTCTAAGAGATGCCAAAAAACGGCGTGTATACGATTCGCAGTTATCGCACTCGAGCACTTCACATGGCTCGTACCCACCAAGTTGGAGCACTCCTTTCTATCATCCGCATAATAGTCACTATCCAAATTATCAGCAAACAACATTCTATTCATATCGTTATCGAACGTCTCGTGCACGCACACAACAAACCTCATATACTCAAGCTGAATATGAACGGGTGATTTTTGCCTGTTCACTCGCATTCTTTTTTTTTTACTTTTGTGAAATTTGCTCGATTCTTCCGAAATGGAACAAAAGTTCTCATCGGTTATTTCATTGAACCAAAATGCCGGACCGGACGTTTGTATTTTAGCAGTTTGTTCCTGAACGAAAGTTTGGAAATATTAGGAAATATTTTCAGTGAGTAGGAAATATTTTCACAAAACCTTTTTCATTTAACGGACGCAGTTTTCATTCGTAGGAAAGTTTGATTGACACCAATGGAACTGGTTTAGAGAGTGCAAGTTGAACGTTTAGTCATAGCACATATCCAAAGTGCGATTTGCAGTCAATTGAAAAAATATGCAAAAAGTTGGCTAATTGTGAGCAAAACTCGTTTTCTGATAGCTGAAACACAAAAAAATTATCTTCCACAGATTCTCGATTTAGTAAGTGACATTCATTTTTTGCAATCGGGGAGGTGTAATGGGCGATAAAGTGCCCTAGTTTGATAAGGTAGTGCCAATCTGCAGATGTTTGATGAGTTCCGTAAGCGGTATGAAAATGAAGAACATCAACAAATGCAGCAACGTTCCTATGAGGAAGCACTCAGACGCAGATATGACTTCTTGAGACGGAACGGCATGAATGCGTCCAGATATCGAACGAACGCCAGTGATAAGGCGTCTCGTTCAGATTTCTCGTTAGTCAACTATATTTGCAATTCTGTTCCGTCTGTTGATATTTACATTTGTATGTAATCCATTTCATTTCAATACGTTATCAATTGAGTTTTGTTTCAGTGGTTTCGATCCATTCGGCTCTAATTTCGAGATGCTCAATAAAATTCTAACCATTTATTTGATTGTATTTTTTGCAGTCGCTATAACAAGCACGGCGTATCAACGAACGTAAGTTAGATGGAATCAAATTGTTTGTTCGTTGCTTTGATGTCAATGAATTTAAAATTTTGTTCACATTGCGATGTTCAATAAATCGTTGTTTAATCCGTACTTATTTGAATTGATTTTTAACTGTCCAATAATCTGTTCCCTCGAGATGTTCGCATTTTGCCTTGTGCTTTTGATAGTTCTTAGAACTTCGGTTTGAAGTGTTCTGTTGAATTGTTGAGAACGTTTTGAAAATAGGACAACTCGATAGAAAACGCCCCTTTATTGAAAAATGCATTTGAAGAAGTAATTGTATTGCATGCACAAAAAACGAACATGGTTTTGTATATATGCACATACTATTATACTAGTGATAAGTTATAATTAGACGTTTGTATGTGCCTAACCGATATTTGGTGTTGATCATTTAGATGTCAGTTTGTGTGATGGATAAATGATGAATGGTAATTCGTTTACTTAAATGATTAAAATCAACATTCGATAATGCTTCGTTTCGGCTGATATTAACTGAAGTGACGAAGCATTATTCACAATCAGCTGATGAATTTAAGGAAATGATGAAGTGTCTTCAATTGGACGAACTCGATCAATGCAAAATTGCAGTGAAGAATTCAAGTGCAGCAGCGAGCGATATATGCCAGTCGGTTGCAAATGAAGAACCAACCCATTTCACAACATTCTATTCCTTTTCGAATACGAACAGAATGCACTCCCTTTTTTCACGATATCTGCAGAATGGTTTATAATCGTGTCCGAATGTTCGGTGTCTGTTCGTACGATTCAGTAGTTTCATGAAATAAAATATGAGGGATTAACTAGTGTTTGTTCGACACTAAACTACGGATTAAGGTATAAAATCACATCGCTGAAACTGAGTCACGCTTGTTGGACATATCCGTTATAATGACATATTATACGAGCACTTTTAAAACGCTCTGCTTCGTAATTTTGCAAGTTTGCGCACGGTGAGTGCATTGATTGTTCGACTTATCACGGATTTATTCCCCTGTGCTCGCACATCCTCTATTGAACACCCACCATATATTTCGAAGTTAGGCCAATAAAGACGACTGCAGAATTATCGCAGATGTATAGTCAGCGTTGTTCTGCATCTGTTAGCGTCCTGTTCGAGATGTAAGGGAGCACCTCTCGTGAATAATCACTTTCGAAACGGTGCTGCTGCTGCTAATGACTCATTCATGAATAAATACCCAAGAGGTGACTTCGTTAAAACTGGTATTATATTCGTGCTTGATTAGCACTTTTCTGTTGCTGTGATTCATCAGTAACCTTTGTGTGGGTAATAGCATTCGATTGGTATTGATGATGAAGGTATTATAATAGGGTTGTGCGTCGTTGACTTATTGAGTTGATTTCTCAGAAGAGATAATCTATGTGCATAAAATGCTCTCGAAATTGATTTCTTAGACGTAAATATCAAATATACATTCTCTGTCTTACTTACTGCCAGTAGTTCATTTCAATTTATTGTTTTCACCGTGGTTGTTTCAATTTATTCTTGTCGTTCTATTGTCGATCGCGTTTGAATGTATGTCGTATTGAAGTGTTGTGCTTCGTTGCATTTGATTGTTATTCTGTGCTTGTTTTAGTCTGTTCTCATTTGGCGTTGACAATTCAGCAATACGAAATGTTCAGATTTGAAAGGATCGTTGACGAATGGAGTCCTCAGNCAGTCGAGCAGTATAAGTCTCGAGGTTCGACCCAAACTCGAGAATGGCGCAATAGCAAATCATGAGATCACAGTTGAGTCGTCCGAAACGATGGAAGAGCTGAAGAGTTCGCATACTTCTTCGCATTCACTTGCTGAACCATCATCTGACGTTCAAAAGACTCTAGCTGAGGCTGCTCAAAATGGTGAGGTGAATGAGCCAGAAAGTCTCAGCTTGCCAGAAGAGCGTGAAAAGGAGGAGGAGCCGGCCAAATCGTCTCATTTGGATGTTCCTTGTGAAGCGAAGAATAACGGTGACCTTGTGAATCGTGTACCATCAGTACAAAGCATTGCAAGCGCTCAATCAAATCACTCATCTGTGTCCAACTCACCCAAAAGACCGCCTGCACCTGTACCTGCTGCACCACCTGCTGCCCCACCCAAAGGTATTTACCCCATTGCTTAATTTTATCAGCATTTGTTGCTATTGCTTATCGAGGTCATCAATGATCCGTAAATGTTATCGCATTATTGTTTCAGTTTCATTATCATACTTACTGATGTCGTTTTGTTTGTTTGAACAATCCGAAAATTTTATTCCAACTTCATACCAAGTTTATTGCAAGTCTGTCATAATCAGTTTTATAAGCTCTGAACCAACTTGCACTGTGATTAACTGATTGCTCGTTTGCAATTTTTTGCATGCTTTATGAACAGACTGCACTTGCGATTTATCGATTCGTTCATACCTTTGATCGATCCTTCAATTATTTACTTTACTTGTTTATTCAACCACCAGTTAAAACTCAGTACGAGTTTACGTCTTTCTGTTAAAATCGATATCACATTCTTCATTCCTTGATATCCTTCTTTCCACACAGTTAACAATAATAACGCAGGAATACATTCATCTTTATGAAAATATAATCTCGTTTATTGACTGCACTGTCGCAGAACTGTATGGGCAACTCCCTTATATTGCCCGATGATCCCTGGTGACAGGAGGTCGTAATGAGCACCAACAAGTATACTTTGACTGATCGGGTAAGTGAACGAGCAGTGCTCATTCGAAGTAACTGTTGAAAAGAATCCACTATTCATGTAGTTCATCTTCCGTTATCCTCTTTGCTGTCATTACTCCGAAAATCGTTGAATCCGATTTCTGTCATCATCAGACCTTTAATATCACTGTATTGTACCACTCAGCCAATGTTTTGACGATATGCATTAACTGTAAGACGAAACTATTTCAATTATCTCGATGCAATTTGATCGCACAGAAGTAAACAAAATCTTTTTATCACATTTTACTTTACTGTTTGGTATAAACTTTCGTATTTGTTCAATCAGTTATGCAACGTTTCAGTTTTCGTCTCATTGTTGTGAAAACTCTTTCGAGTAATTTCTTGGTATCGAAATGATGAAATGAATCTTTCGTAGTTTACCAATAATGCGGTACCATTTGAATGTCATATTTTATGTTTGCGTTCGAACGTTAATTACTCATCAAGTGGATAGAAAAGGGTAGAGAATAATTCGAAGAGTTAAGAGAGGTAGTTTGGCGATCAGTACTTCAGAAATCACAAGTGTAAAACCGATTGACTTTATCAAACACACTAATTTTCGATACGATGTCGAAATTTGAATAGTGATTTGATAGAGCATGAATTAGTGAAATCGAGAACATTCAGCTGGAATCGAATTGCTGAAGTTGATCTCCATCCGCCAGTCACAGCTATAATATGGTGAACAAACACAACTGTTCGTTTATTCATTCGTATTTGGTTGTGATGACCTTGGTTTGGTGTGTGCATCTATATTCTCCATTTAATACTTTAATTGAGCTACGATTTTAATGAACAGTCGTGTGTCTGTTTGAATTTGAACGAGTCTTTCACAGTTATGGTACTTTTTTAAATAAATAATTCACCTCAGTCCAGTCTTTTGGAATTAAGTTTGGGCCTGTGTCATTTTCGGTTTTGTTTACATTCAAATCTCAAATTTCCTTTAGCTTATCACCCATACTGATGAATCATCCATTCCTTTTTGTTAGTCTGGTCACTTAAAATTTGTTTTCTTAAGATGACTCATTGTGCACAGCCGTATGATCGTGGTAGTCAGTGTTATTTGAAAGTATTAGGAGTTTATTCGAGGCAGGATGATGATTATTGATTCATGCCTATTTCTATGCGTATTCTCGTTATAAATTAGTATTGGTTACTAACTATAATCTTCCGGAGACGTTTATTTTATCTGATAATCTTTATGCATTATTTGATTTATCAAGGCAATATCTTGCTCACTGTTTGATGCTAATTGCGAGCAGCAAAGCATGTGCCAACTCACATTCAGTATGCTTCATTTTCAAGATCGCATTCAGACCGGTGTTACTATTCATTTTTATGCCGTTATTGAATGCTACTTGAGCTCATAGTATTATTATAAGATTCATGTGAAGTGAGCATGATGCCGATATTTCTTACAGTCGGAATACCTCTTTCTGTGTGAGTTACTCAGTCGTTTTGATTTGTTACTGTACTATAGTAGTGGTGTGACGAGGAGATGAAGAAAAAATTACATTCGTATGGAAGACTGTTTCAAAAAAGCTAACATTTTGCCCAAAAAGTGTGTGTGTGTGCATGTGAAGCATCTTATATGCACATGTTTACAGCATTGTTTTGAGTGAAGGACATCTGGTATCACTGGAATAGAATGCAGTTTTTTGAAGCTTACTCCTACATTCAGCTGACGTTTAGAAAGGATACATTTGGGAAGGAAATGCAATGAACGTCTTTGTATTGAGTATTGTGGACATGTGCGATCCTTTTTACAATTCAGAACACCCTCATGAATAATCATTTGGTCGTTTTTTGTTTTTAATGAGGAAACACCTGGGATAAGTTCTAGTTGTAGCGATGAGACTGCAAAGAGCCATTCCATGAAACAAACGTGAAATGTCAAACAGGTTCAGTTTTCACTCTTCACGTTCTGAGTGTAACCTCAGCTTTCAGCACAATTTCGAATGCAAATTATTTCATGAATCATGAATTGTTTCCTCACAATGGCGAGAATCAAGTCCATTCGTCTCCATTTCCAAAAGCACATTACTTTCTCAGTAAAAATGTAACTGTGAGCGTTTGCTTATTCAACTGTGAGCTTTTGTACGGACTGATGCTGTATATGTTATACTCTATGGAAGTTCGCAGGGATTGTTGTGTGAGGTGAACTGCAAACAAATGCGTTAGTTATAAACAAATATTATTGAAGCTATTACTGCGCTGATGATTGCGTAGAACGAATGATTTGATTATGTCTTGTATTCATGTAGCTGTGCAGCTTTTAAGCAGTACTTTTGTGCTGGTAAGCGATAAAAATGGAGAAGTTTTGGATTGAGACTTATTATCTTCATCCTCATTTCTTCTTTATCACACCATCACTGTTGCCTTCGACATGTAGCTAGCGGTGATTTAATAGTAAACATTGTGTTCATTATGTGAGTGAGTGGTTCACAGTGGTCACAAAAATTCCTTTGATAATGATCAATGATAGGAAGAAATCTGTTAGCGTTCATGATTAATCATGCAAGGAATTGATGCCTAATGTACTTCTTAAACAAACAGTATCGAAGTGATAATGCCTCCGATGTACTTTCTCCAGATTTCCGATTACAGTCAATCATTTCAAACAACCATTCTTCTCACATTTACTATGCGTTTCAAGGCATAATGCTCGTTTGGTGTTCTTAATCGTTTGAAAAGAATCAGTCGTTGCACTGCTCAATATTAGATTTCCACACTCGAACTTATATGAACGCGTACAATGAATACAGTGCACACCACCACGTATGCACAATTGCTGTGCACATTTTATAGTTATGAAATCTATATTGTTGCGTTGAATCGAATGTGCAATAGCGGAGAGAGCGTGCGAAAGAAATATCGCTCTGTTCATTACATTCATTCTTTGATTAAATCAATGGCCGTCACTGTGTTTGGTAAGTGGGTGTGTGCACTACTGAATATTTTGTTTGATATTATGAATTGCTTCGATTCCTTCCGTCCAGAATCATACCTTTGCATTCGTACATATACATATGAACACAATTCACCTCTTCTACACAGGCTGTGAATTCGTTTACCTCAAGTGTGAAAACCTTTATTATATGATACACAAGACAATATCTCATCTCACTCAATTCGAAGTCCATATTCATCATTATCCGTGCTCGTTGCATACAGCTATGAGTGTGTATCGTTTTCATTCCATGATTGCGGATCGTTCGATTATTTGATCTGTGCTCCGCATTCCATATCGATTGAGCCAACCAACAACCTCATTCGATCATAATGAATAATATCGAAGAACATATCTTCAATTCCTTTGCTTCATTCGTTATTTCTCGATCAAAACGAAATTATGCTGTCCACACGTAAGGTCACTCAACGCAATCATACATCCGTTAAAACTGCACTTCTGGCAAAACTTCACTAACCACAACATTAGGCTTAATTCTATTCCGTTGCCTAATTTCCTCAGCAAAAATCTGACGATAAGCATAGGTCCAGGCTTAGACTTGCGCTTCGTTAGGTGACCTAATGTATGGCAGTCACGTTGATATTTATTGTACTTTTATTTCGCCGCTGAAATATATTTCGTCATCTGCCGACAATATTTACATGCTCCGTTTCCTACCTGTGAACAACTGTTGAACACATAAACAATAACATGATTCGTCGTGGTTATTGGTCAGTGGGGAATTGTTCGAAAATTTCAATTGATGATTCATTTCATAACAATGATATCATATGATCTNAACCGCGAATGTTGCTGTTGAGAACAGGAATTTTATCTGGAAGCAAGCGAACTCCTTCTAACTTTCAGCTCTAAAAATTTGTTAGTTCGTTAGTCACGTTATTACAACCAACATCACAGAGGTCTGTCTCATCGTAGTAATATTAACCGACTGCTTCTTATAACCTTCGACAACGGAGGTCTGTCTCAGAAGATGGCACAGTACACTGTGGTACTGCAAATGCTTACGTACTCAAATTGTGTTCGAATGTTTGCATTCGTTGAATCATTTTCTATTGAAATTGGTGCGGATGTATATTTGCTGGCGAGAATGGTTGAGTGAATAATGGTGATGGTATTGTTGAGAGGATGTTTTAAATGTATTGGGAAATGAGATGATGACGACGAAAAGTTTTTATTGTTGTGTTGTAATGATAAGTGTTCGTTTTGAGCTGACAGTTGAATAGAGCGCAATTGAATGGAGAATCTGAGAAAACGATTCAGGTTTGGAAGGTATGATGTGACATGCGAAGTGCGCTAATTTCTTTCGTAATTCAACTGCTGCTCTGCTTTTGATCTCGTCACCTTACTTCTCGAACGGAGTGTTCGACGAGCAGTCNTGACATCGTTTCATTCGATTTGTTTTATAGCATTCGAAAGTTAGTCTAGTAATGAGCAAATAGTTTTGTTATACACCTAAGCAGGGGATGGAGTGGAATTTATGGAAAGGGGAAGTGACTCCAAAAGCAAACGAAATCCCTTCTGCTATTCGAGACTTTTGAAAGGAGTTTCTAGTTATTTTACCAATTTCTACTCTCAGAAGACATTAGTTACTAGCAGTTCTACTTCTGGAATGAAACGCTGACAATACGAACGGTCGCTGCTTTCTTTCAGTAATGTTTCGAGTGTTGTAGATATGTTTCGAGTTGCTTTTTCAGTGGCTATCGTTGATTACAAGCAATTCTTTGTAAATGTGGCATTGATGAGTGTGTCAATGCTGAATGCTTTTATTCATCATCCTTCCACATGGCAACCAACCAACACGTTAAAATATACACGTATCCAAGAATTTTAAATGTGTACTGCACAGTTGATCGGTTCGTAGTATAGTTAGTCATGCTCGAGAAACTAAGACTAAACTTATTCCATGAAGGTTTGCGTTAAACTGGAAAATTTGACGTTTCCAAGTTATTTCTCATGTCATTTTTCAGTTGATTTATTAGAGAAGTGTTTATGAGAATGATGTAGATAAATGATATTCATTGCTAATCAGCACTTCTGTTAGTTAATAAGCACGTTTTTCGTCGTTTCTTCATTCGTTTGCGATAAAATTTTAGTGCATTTGATTGATGGAATCAAAAGTATTTGTGAGTTTAAGGATTTTTCTTTGCAGAAACTTGTTTCTCGTACATTATTATTATTTCATTATCATTATTATTATGATTATTGCTGTCATATTTTTTGGACGACTCATTCTTTTGACAATCTTTCCGACGTATAGAATGGAATTTGGTGAAAATTTTCTGTCACAATCGATATCAAAGTGGATGAAATCTTCTTTCATACATTTTCTTATTGGAATTTTTGATCATTGTTCAGTTTCGTACAAAATGCGCAGTTCATTTTTCAAAGAATTGATTTCTATCGTGTCGACCTAATTTCTTGTCATTGACCACTGAAATGGTCTTGTTTCCCATTTTCGAATGGTACTCAGTGAGCGTTGAAAAATTTAGAAATTGCAAATTTTGCCAACAATTTTTGTTTCGTTAGATCAATTTTCGTCAACGAGCGATTTTGCTTCCACTCGTACCGACTGGGCTGTCGCTCGGTGGCCACCGACAAGAATCTGTTGGTTCCCAGTGCTACAGCCATTGTATGTAGCTCATCCGGATTCCGGATGGATATCTTACAGTTTTTGTCTTGTATAAACCGTACAAATCATTTTCATTATTACTTTATGTTAATTCTTGTTCGTCTGATTGCTCTTCAGTTATTTCAATGCAATTTCGAATCAGTTTTTTAAAACTGATTTTTCAGTTTTAGTTGATTTGTGATATCAGTAATTAGACTGTTATCTCGTCCGCTTTCTTCTTCGAAAACTCATGCCAAAGCTCATTAAACATCGTTATTAATGAACTGCGATTGTCATTCTCAATGGAACATTCCACGGATCATGCCCTTCATTATGTGTATCTTGCTACGATCGCTATTGAATTTTGTGCATTTTGCAGAACAAAGACCAGAAAGACCCCGTAGAAAAACACGCAAAACAATGTTCTCGTGGCTTGGCGGTGAGTCGTCAAAAAAGAAGAATCAACAGGTTTCAGTGCGTTTTCAGTTCCGTGTGTAATTAAGATTTCACGCATTATCCATGTCAAATAATGTTCCGATGAATCCTTTACAAGTCTCTAAATAAACGTTTATTGAATTTTCCTACGTCTGTCATATGACTGTACGCTTTAAATTGATCACTGCGAATGATTTGGATCCAAAATTAGCATTTATGAATCCGTTGGACGTATCCATTAATATTATCGTTTGGATCAGCATTATTACTATTATTGTGGTTATTGGTGTGAATAACAGTAGTGCGAGTGTGGGAATATCCCAGAACCAGTTTCTATTTATCATCAACAGCACACAGTACTACTCACTTACTGAAAGTCTCAAAACGTATCAATGATCCGTCTCGAGCGTGATATTTCACACTATATTAAGGTGTTGGAGTCGGTCAGTGATGGCTTTCGTAAGATCTACAAGCAAAAACTGTTGCCGTTGGAAGAGCATTACAAATTCCATGAATTCCATTCGCCAGCACTAGGCAAGTTTTGACTGTTTTTGAAAGCTGCTGTTACTTGATTAGTTGAATCCAGTCTTATGGTTGTGATATTTGCAAAATTTCAGACGATCCAGATTTCGATGCCAAGCCAATGATTCTATTGGTTGGTCAATACTCTACCGGCAAAACAACGTTCATCCGATATCTGCTAGAAGAGGATTTTCCCGGAATAAGGATAGGTCCTGAACCAACAACGGATCGTTTTATAGCTGTGATGCATGGTGAGGATCAGGGTTCGATCCCCGGTAATGCGCTCGTTGTTGATGCGAAAAAACAGTTTAGGGCACTCAGCAAGTTCGTTTACCATCTTCTCAGCAATTTCAGTTCTTCAGAAGATGAATTCGACGTCGAGATTTTCAAACAATAACCCATTGTCATATTTTTAGATTCGGAAATGCCTTCTTGAATCGTTTTCAATGCTCGACATTGAACAATGAAGTGCTCAAAAGTATTTCGATTGTTGATACACCCGGTATTCTAAGTGGAGAGAAACAGAGGTTCGTCTTTTTTTCTCTTGAATTTTGAATGTTTGTCATTTTCTTTTTGAATTGTGTCATTACAAAAATTCCTCATTGATTGTGTCATCGATTCTTGAATTCACTGTATTTTCATTAATCACATATAGATATTACGTTCGTCGAGAAATTTCTCTTCTTTGAATTTGTCAACTCACAGTGAGAATTTGTTGTTGCGCGTTGATTGATTGCTGTAGATGGGATCTTCTTGACTTTGCAACAAGTTTAACTGATACAGTAGACACATATTAATCGACTATCTCTTCTCAAAAGTTCCATTCTTTTGTCATCCATTCTCATTTTCTGTCTAAGACCATAGTTTCTTGATAGTCTTATTTGTCCATATTGCATGGAAATCGAGTTTGATGAAAATTTTCGTCGACTTTGCATGAAAAAGTAGCTAATTGATTTTGAACGATTTATTTCAGTGGCCCTGACAAAGATCGTTATTACGGGTTCGTCTTGTAGTTACATAAGGTGTTGGGATATTGGGCAAATCAACGCAAAATTGCAATATAAAAAAAAGAGGCTCAAGCTTGTGGCGTCGGTCTGAGCAGGGCTCGCGCTTGTTTCTCGTTGCAAGTTTGCGCAGATTTGTGAAATGTGCCCCGAGCTTTTACCTATCTTAAACGTTTTGTTTGCTGCACTACCACCTTGGGCGCACACTGCTTCACTGTTGGGTCAGTCAAAACTTGCAAAGTGGTTGTATTTCGTTGCCGAATTTGCCTTACACGTTAATCGTTTACACGTTCAGCTGCAAGCAAAATCAAGCCATCTCTCTGAAATTCCCTTCAAGAAGAGAATCTTAGAAGCAGTCAGGTATTTATGCTAATAAGTTGAATCTGTGCGTCAGTTGCGTTGTATCTCATAGCTGTCAGTAAACCGTAACTTGCATTCATGCAATTAAGCGGGTAATGAATGTGGCTTCAAGCATCTTAACTGGTAACCATAAAGGCAAGTCCCGCGCAATGCCCATATTATTATATAAGCGATTGTTCCGCGAATCGTGCGTAGTTCTGAATCAGTTGGTGCAAGAATTTATAGAGTTGGGACGAACAGGATTGGTTGGCAAAATGCATCGAACGTGTGAGTAAGGACTTAGCTTTCGATTGTTAATCGGAATGAATAAGGAGTGAATAACGGAATGAAGAAGTATCTTTTTTGTTCATGAACTGACCACTACTATTTTCATGCAGCATTTATTGATTCGCTAATGGCTAATAATATTATTGTTCTTGTTATCGTTTGATTTCAATTCGTAAGTACGCGTAAAAATGAGAAATAAATTGATGTTTTCCTGGAAATATTGATTTAAGTCATCAGTGTTTCAATAGTTTACATTGCATCGCCAAATTTTTCAGTGACTTCTGAGAATTCAGCAGTGTGCGCATTATTAACTAATTTGCATCGCAACCGCTCATAGCTCAACAAATAGTACATTTAATTGTTCAAGTATATGCACGTCTGTCAACTCAACTAGGCATTTTAATGCTTCTATATGTATGTATTTGAAATTTATCATATGTCTGACAGTGAGTAAAAATAACATGCAACGTTAAGCCATAATGAAGTGATAAGCTTCTATTCACTCCCGTCTCATTACTAACTGCTGAATGGTGTCTGTGCAAGCGTAAATACTAGCTTTAGAAATCTAATGCTTTAGAAGGGCTTCAGCCTGTTAGTGGTAAATTGAACACAACATTCCGCGCTTTGAGCATACAATAGGTATTCTCAACAATGGTTTCGCTCGCTACTGCCCTTCCACATTGTTTAACCATTATCTGAGTTAAAGTCGTCAATACTGTTGTAATCAGCAGTTAATTCGCTTGTGACTTACAATCAACAGTAATTTGTTTCTGATAGCACATGCTTTGTTTGCTAAGTTGGTATGAAATGGCTATTTTTAGAATCGATCGTGGTTATGATTTTACGGGTGTGTTGGAGTGGTTTGCGGAACGGGTGGATCGTATTATATTGTTGTTTGATGCGCACAAATTGGATATTTCTGATGAGTTCAAACGATGCATTGAGGCGCTTTCTGGTGTGTTTTTTGTGGGTGATGGGATAACTTGAAGTTACTCAGTCACATTTCTTTTAGTAATGAAATCGTTAGTGTCGAAAAAATTTCAGGAAATGAGGATAAAATCCGAATTGTGCTCAATAAATCCGATATGGTCGATCATCAGCAATTGATGCGAGTTTATGGTGCACTTATGTGGTCGCTTGGGAAAGTTCGTTTCCATTCGTTCATCCATTTGTTTCTGATTCATTCTTTTCGCTTTTAGAATGATAATTTCTCTGAAATTCTGACAAATTCGATGTGTGATAATGTTTCGAAGTGATTGAAATTTCAAGGTCTTCAAAACACCCGAAGTATCACGAGTGTACATCGGGTCGTTCTGGGATCAACCGTTGCATTACGATATAAACCGGCGTTTATTCCAAGATGAACAACACGATCTGTTCGCTGATATACAGGCATTGCCTCGCAATGCTGCGTTACGTCGACTCAACGATCTTATCAAACGAGCAAGGCTCGCTAAAGTTGGTTATTTGTGGATGTGTGTGTAATCTTGAAGATATTTACTACGGCTGATTGAGTGTCGCCGGAAACAATCAGAGAATTTATGTTTATTTCAGGTGCATGCATTCATAATTTCTGAATTGAAGAACGAAATGCCATCGATGATCGGGAAAGAGAAGAAAAAGAAGGATCTTATCCAAAATTTAGATAAGGTTTTCGACCGAATACAGGTTTGTTTCGTGTGGCTGTTTGTCGCTTTGACATTTCATAGAATGCTTGGATCAGTGCTTGAATTAATCTCAACCAATTCACAAGACTAACTAGCAAAGCTCGAATCCAATTATGATCAGCAAGATCTACAAACAGAAGCTTGTGATGTTCAGTTGCTTTTTGTGCGTTTCGCTGACGTATAGATAAATAATTTGGGTTTTTAATAAACTGAATCACGAAACGACTTTCCGTAGGTTAGGTGAAATTGATTTTTTAAAATGTGTTTAAAAGTAATCGGTCATATGTTTAGCGTGAGCACAACATTTCGCCGGGTGATTTCCCAGATGTGAACAAAATGCGGGATCACCTTCAGAATCAAGACTTTACAAAATTTAATTCTCTCAAACCGCGGTTGTTGGAGGTGGTCGAGGGGATGCTCTCGTCTGATATCGGTTAGCAAAACTTTCATTATCAAAAAATTTTCGCTGAATTTCTGATGTGAAAGAGGATCGTATAAAGCAAGTCGTGCTGAGGATATGCACACAAGCTGTTTGTGGTGTCTTGGATACAAGATAGGTTTCTTTTATGAACTGCCAATGTGATTGTCATTATTGCAGCTCGACTTATGGCCCAGATTCCGAAGGAGGAATGTGCAGGTATGCCTTTGGCGAATGGTGGAGGATCTGGGGCTCAACCCAGCCAAACGGTATTCATTAGTTTAATCTGCTTTGATTTGTTGGTTTTTGAAATACGCTTGAAATTGATTTGCTGTATGAGTTTAAGAATTAATGGATGGATTTGAGCATTGATTGCTTCTTTCTTTTGATGCGGTTGATTATTCAATCAAGAGTAAATGGGAAGGGAAGTTTTTCGACAGAAGGGAACATTCGGTCAAGTTTTGTGGCTTTTTGGTTGTTGGAAATTAATATTCTACTATGATGTGTGATGGAAAGGTTGAATGCACTCGGCGTTTTTTTGTGCTTCTGAAGCTTCATCTCCCCTTGTTTGTGCCGTCTGATTGTTTTTGAACGATCAATGAATCGGAAAATTTTCGACTGGAATCTTTCCTTCGCTTGGGCATCTGAAGGTGATTGGGTGAGGTGATGAACGAGAAATCTGTTGGAATGTGCAGTTGAAGGTGCATGGTGGCGTGTTCGATCAAACAGTCGAATCAGAAACACCGTTTGGATTTGGTAAAGGAGAAGGGTTCGACAAGGGTGCAAATGAGGCCGAATGGGTTGTTACTCGAGAGAGGTACAAGTCTGATGAGATATTCGATAGTCTCGATCCTATTGATGGCAAGATCACAGGTGTGTTTTGGTGTAATCAATATTCACATAGTATTCAGAAATATATTTATTTGATTTGATAAACTTGCGTCTTTTAATTTTCAAATGTTTGTTTCTCCTTATTGATGTAAATGATGTGCGAACTGGCTGATTCGATGAGCTGGTTTCAGGTCGTGCCGCAAAGGAGCATATGATCAAGTCGAAATTGCCGAATTCAGTGCTGGGCAAAATTTGGAAGTTGTCAGATATCGATAAGGATGGAATGTTGGATTCAGATGAATTTGCACTCGCAAATTACCTCATCAATCTGAAACTCGAGAGTATGTTCTTTGTATGCTTGTTTTATGGGCGGTTCGGTGCTATTCTGAGGATTTGGTTCATTATGCTCAAATTTCAGATCATGAATTACCAGCAGAATTACCAAAACATTTGATTCCACCGTCGAAACGAGAAGAAGATCCGATGTATCCAACTCTGGATTGATTGTGCGTTCACTGATCGAATCTGAATATTAAACTCATAATAGATAAAAGATTGTGATATGATGATATTATACAATTGATTGTTTGATTGTTTAGCATATATTTGAACTGTGTTCTGGTCAGACGTGCACATTTATGTTATAATGTAATATCGATTGATTGNGATTGATTGCATTCGTTTCATTCAGGTATTGTTGATATTGTTATGCACACATGCAGTTCAAGTTTATACACTTTTGTGGTAACGTGATGAAGATTGTGATGGTTTAGTTTAGGATGCTGTCTTTGATTTATTGAGGCGCTTTTTGAGTGAGTGATACTGCTTACTAGCTGTTGAGTACTTATGATTTATCGAATGGGTTTTCTTTATTAAGAATGAATCGTAAAGTGACTGATTTGTTCGTCGAATGATCATCGGAATTGAATGCTTTCAAAAGATCGATAGACAAATCGTGTACAAATTGATCCCATTTTTCTGAATATTCGAAAATTCGATGTATTGTCACGAAAGAAAATAGAATCTGTATTCAGATTACTTCATTTGAGGTTCATTAGTATTGTTTCATTTTCTGTATTGTTACATTTGAAACGCTGAAATGAACTTCGATATTGCTTTTATATTGGTAAATCAGTATGATGCAAACGTATAATTTATTCTTATCACTTTCATTATTCACTGATATATGTGTATGCATCTTTCAAGAAATAAATATAAATTAATGCAGTGGTTTTTTTAGATTTTGCAGCAACAAATGTTAATGATTTGTTTTGTTCGTTTTTTAATAGGCATTTTATTAATACTATCAGGCAGCTACCTGTGGATTTTTTCGGAATTAGCTTCGAACGTGAATCCGTGTTTTTAGCGGCTAGAAGTGAAGAGAGGAACTAGTAGTATAAGCAGTTAAAAGGACACTTCTCAATGTCTAGCCTAGGCCAAGTTATAAGGGTTTGAAATTTTGAAATTTTCGAAAAATTATCGAAAATATTTTTGCTTATATCTAAACAGCCGCTTGAGGTGGGGGCCTAATACTAAAACTTTAAATAGTAGTAAGGAAGATCTTCGTCCCGGTAGCATTAACTCAAAAAAAATTTTTTTCGAAAATTTTCCAAATTTTAAGGACAGGGAGCTACTGTGGATTTTTTCGGAGTGCGTGAACAGAAAACTTCACTCATCGTCAACATGCAAAGAGATGACAGTGTTGCTGTCATTGCTATAATAATTTCATTGATTCATGAAATATATCAAGAGTCTGAGCAATGCTTACAATTCATCTATTGGTTTGTTTCTTATATTCAAACTAACGAAAGTACCACCTCCATATTGCCTCAACCGGCAAGTGCTAATGAGCCAGCCCTTCAAGTTGGGTTGTTCGCTTAGATGAGAAATACCATATGAAACACCCACACTAATGACCTAAAGCAAAAATTCGATATTCTGACATGAAATGAGCAATTATGATACTATGCAGTTTTTAGAAAGCAAATCAAAGTGAGTGTGCTGATCACACCAATCAAAGTGGCGATGATAAGATATCAATCACGATCGTTCTTCATTGATCAAACGATGCTCATCTAAGTGCTGCTCAGTGGTGAATGAATGGTACGTATGACCAGATATCCGAGCGAAAGTGTTAAAGACTTTACACAACTCTCAGTATTCAACTGTGAACGAACGTTTCTTCGTTGATTGCTCAGTTTTTCACTTAATTTAGAGCAATTTTAGGATTTCCTGAAATTGTTTCAAAAATTTTTGTGAAATTCGATTGCTAGCCGTAGTGGAAAACTGCGTGCATTTCTCATCGAAAAATATTGATATTCGAAAGCTAAATTGAAAGTATCGTAACAAAAATATTGTGTGAAGCACATGGGTCACTTATGACTTATATCGAACATGTTCAATCTTTCATCACGTGAAATCAGTTGGCTGATTGAAATCGTCGCTGTTAATTAATAGATGAATTTTTCCCTTCTTCAAATCATCAAGAATATCGAAGATTTGTTCGGAAAGTAGTTCTCACCAGCAAAATACTTTTTAGTCAGAAAATGACAATTGATCAATTGCTGCAAGAGAGTGATCGTTAACGCTATGCAGCGTGGTTTTTGCTGATTGAATTTGAAATTGATCCTGGGTAATCAGTTCCTTGCAATAAATTCATCTTTCTTCTCTTCGTAACATCATTCGTTTCTGAGTTCTCCTATCAAAGTGGTTTGTCACCGTAGTGTTGTCATCGTGTGGCCAATACAAGTCAGATATTTCATTTTAGAAAGATTGCTTCTGATTCATGAGCAGATCAGTTTGATAACTGTGATATTACGTGCAGTGCTTATTGTATCCCCTTTGTTAATGCGTGAAATGGTATGCAGTTGTTTATTTGTTGTAACTGCATAAACCTTTGTGATCACATATCATCCACATGCATTCAAAGCTTTTTAAACATCTGCTGTATGTTTTTAAGCTGTTTTTCTAATTGAATCGTAGTTATCCTCATTTTCATATTACAACCATGATATTAAGTCGTATTTATGCATTTTTACATTTATTTATCATTACTTTTGTTTTCTTTTGCAATCTTGAAATCAGTATGCACGTGCTCGTTTCCGCGACTCTGCTCTCCTTCTATCGTCTGTTTCAACCATTTTTTCCGAGAACGTCCTTACAACACCCTCCAAAATATTTTGCTCCGACGTGACAACAACTCTTTTTTTGGTCAATCATCGAAAATAAGTGTTCCTTCTGTCCGCATTCCTCGACTTCATCGTTTGTCCATCGGTCATTAAGTATGAGGACAAGCTGTTTTTAATCGCTATTTTACTCATAGTGTTTAATTGTGGAAAGAAGTGCTGAATGTCATGCCACTCACAACCAACTAATTCCTTTACTCCGTTCATTTCTATTATGCGCATCTTATCTGAATTGTAATCTGTATCAACATAACGTCATTCTTTAATATTATCGGATCTTCTTAAGAAATTCAACATGTGTTGAAATTATACTGTATGCTCTATTCATCAAATTTTAGCTAGGCACCCTCATGTTATTCTGAATTCCATGATTCATCATTTCTAATTCCTCACTAATCGCAACAGATTCAGAATCATTGAAAATTTTGAGCCAGCAAAAAGTGGTTGTCT